TGTCTCTGTCTCTCCCTCCCTCCCTTGGGACCCCCACCCCTCATCCCAGCCATCACCATCTGGGCTCCCCCAGCAGGGCCTGTACAGAGCCTGGGTCCCTGACTGAACCTGCTGGGCTCCTCACCTGAGATCAGGACGTCCAGGGGGTCACTGGGGGCTGACCACTCGGAGGAGACGTTGTGGGCACCGTAGCATCTGTACTGGCCCTCGTGGGAGACCCTCACAGGGCTCAGGGTGAAGTTGGCCTGAGAGAGCCCAGCCTGGGACTGCTCTCTAGGGCGCTGGGGGAGGACATCACCCCCCTCCTTGTACAGAGCATAGCTGACGTACCCGACATCAGAGCCACATTGGAGGGTCAGGTTCTCTCCGGGGGCCACAATGGGGCTCTGCAGGGTCAAGAGGGAGGGTTTCCTAGACACACCTGGAGGGAAAGAGGAGCCAGGACTCAGATGGCCGATTGCCCCTATGCCCCTTCCTTCCGTAGTCTTCCTCACTAGGGTCTCCAGTGTCCTCGTTTTTCCTCACTCTATATCTGTGTCCCCAGGGGCCCGTTTTTCCCTTATCTTTTCTTCTCTAGTGGGTCTAGCCTGAGGGCAAGGCTGCCAACAGCTCCCCTGTACCCTGACGTTGTATAAGGAAAGGCTGTGGCGTGCTCACCTGACACCAGGAGCTGCAGGGGGTCACTGGGTTCTGACCACACGTAGGGGGTATTGTTTCGATAGCCGTAGCATCTGAATGTACCCCTGTGGCTGAAGATCAGGGGGCCCATGGGGAACAGGGCCTGGAACTTTCCATGGTTGTGTTGGTGTGAGTCCAGGGTCCAGGAGAGCCTGTGGATTCCTTCCTCAATCAGAGTGAACCTGTCCAGTCCCAGCCGAGAGGCACATCGGAGGGTCACGTTCACTCCTGAGGTCACCACGGGGCTTGGCAGGGCTGAAAGGGTGGGTCTGCTGTAGCCTTTAGGAGAAAAAAACAGCAGCCTTGTTAAATGGGGCTCACACCTCCCCATTTAACCCTCTCCCTCAGGGCTGGGCTGTGAGAGGGAGCTGACCCCCTTCCTGAGGGCAGAGCCTGGGGCTGGGACCCCTGAGTGTCCTCTCACCTGTCACCACCAGCTCCAGGGGGTCGCTGGGCTCCGACCAGCCTGCAGGGCTCTGGTAGTAACAGTGATATCGCCCTGCGTGTTTCCACTGCATGGCTGGGATGGAGAATTTGACCTTGTTTTTAGAATCCAGTGTTTTTAATATAGTCCTTGACATTGAACCTCCATCTTTAGCCAGACGGTACTCCTGGGCCTCCTGGGTGCCCTGACACCAGAGGGTCACAGGCTTATTCCAGGTGCTCACGGGACCTGGCTCAGCCCACAAGATGGGTTGGAGTAGGTTCTCTGGGAGGAAACCACAGGTTAGGCCCCAAGATGTCCCCACCCCTCAGATCCCAGCTCACAGCCCCAGGACCCTTCAGACACCCCCAGCAGTCAGTCCTGAGCTGCTCCTCTCCATCCCCAGCTGCCTACAAGTGACCCCTAGTCCCTAGTGAGGAGGAGGGACCTGGGACAGCTGGGGACAGACTCACCTGCCTGCACGTAGGTCCTGGGGTCCCGACTCAGCCCTGGAAGAGAGTTCCCGGTGAGACATTAGCCCCTGAAGCCTGAGCAGGTCTTCTTTCCTAGAGCCCCTGGGGTGTCCTAATTGACCAGGGTCTGGCTATGGATTGGGTCTCCCGTAGACCAGGGTCTAAGGTGATCACGGGACCCGGCTGGGCCCACAAGATGGGTTGGAGTAGTTTCTCTGGGAGGAAATCACAGGTTAGGCCCCAAGATGTCCCCACCCCTCAGATCCCAGCTCTCAGCCCCAGACCCCTCCAGACATCCTCATCAGTCAGCTTTTCTCCATCCCCAGCTGCCCAGGGGTGACCCCTTGTCCCCAGATAGGAGGGACCTGGGACAGCTGGGGACAGACTGACCTGCCTGCACATGGGTCCTGGGGCCCAAACTCAGCCCTGGAAGAGAGTTCCCAGTGAGAGATTTGTCCCCAAAGCCGGAGCAGGTCTTCTTTCCTTGAGCCCCTGGGGTGTCCTAATTGACCAGGATCTGGCTATGGATTGGGGTCTCTCCTAGACTAGGGTCTCTCCTCCCCCTCTTAAGATCTCACCAAAGCAGAGCAGGATTGTGAGAATGGGAGTCATGGCATCTCCTCCTCCTGGCCCCAGCTGTGCAGGTGGATGTGACTGTGGTGCCCACAGGACAGACAGACACATGGTGTGGGGCACTCGGAGGCTGGGTCCTCCCCATCACGAGGTCGTCCCATTGGCAGCCCCACAGAAAGAGGAACTGCCCCTCCCCAGGAGCTTGGCTCTCATTTCCCAGGGCTTGTTCTGAGGGTGAGCACCAGGCTCTCTGCAGGTATTTCAGACAGAAATGGAGATTCACAAGACGGTCACTAAGAAGGACGTTTTTGGCCAGGCACGGTGGCTCACGCCTGTAATCCTAGCACTTTGGGAGGCCAGGGCAGGCAGATCACAAGATCGGGAATTCGAGATCAGCCTGACCAACATGATGAAACCCTGTCTCTACTACAACTACGAAAATTAGCTGGGCATAGTGGTGGGTACCTGCAATCCCAGCTACTTGGGAGGCTGAGGCAGGAGAATCGCTTGAAACCGGAAGGCAGAGGTTGCAGTGAACCAAGATCACCCCATTGCACTCCAGCCTAAGCAACAAGAGCGAAATTTCATCCCAAAAAGAAAGAAAGAAAGAAAGGACATTTCCATCTCTGTGGGGGACAGAAAAGGAAGTCCAGGTTCCTGACAGATAGGGAGGAACCAGGGCTCCAGGTGAAGGTGGGAAGCTGTGCCCTGGCATCTTCTGTTTGTACATGGGCACTACCGTATCTCTGCTTGCTGGTGGGAGCCCATGAGGGGCAGAAAGAGGAACTGCCCCTCCCCGGGAGCCTGGCTCTCATTTCCCCAGGGCTTGTTCTGGGAGTGAGCACCAGGCTCTCTGGAGCTATTAGTCAGAAATGGGGTCTCCCCTCACCTTAGCTGCTGTCCAATCTGTCCTCATCTCACCAAGGGCCAGGATGTGGCAGCAAATAGACCCGCTGCCTTCCTGAGTCACCCCCTTCCAGGCGAGACAGATTGACAGCTCCTCCTTCCCTCTCAGAGCCTCCCCACAGAGAAGGTTCCGTCTCCGTGTGTGTGCGCGCGTGTGTGAAAAACAGTCTGTGGTATTGTCACACCTGGAAGTCTTCCCACGTGTGGCTGGGAGGTCACACTGGACTCTGCCTTGACAGCTACAGCCTTGAGAAGATGCTAAGTTTAGAAGAGCTGATTTTCCTAGACAGAAGCAGCTCCCACAATCCCCTCTGGACAGGTCTGATTTCTGAGTCACGTCTGGGAGAAATGTTCTTCGTAAGATCATGTGCATGGGGGAAGATGGGGACAGCATGCAGCATATTTGAGAAGAGACAGCCAACTAGAAATTATGTAGGCAGATGCTGTGGTGGTGAAAAGTAGTAGGTTTAATTAACGCTCTTAAAAATCAATTCTATGGCCAGGCACGATGGCTCATCCTGTATTCTCAGCACTTTGGAAAGCCCAGGAGGGTAGATCACCTGAGGTTCAGAAGTTTGAGACCAGCCTGGCCAACAGGGTGAAACCCTGTCTCTACACTAAAAATGCAAAAATTAGCCTTATTTTTGAACTCCTTTAAACATGACCAAACATCTCAACGTCTGCTCTTTGCATTCTTCAAGTATTAACATCGCTCCAGTTCCCGCATTAAGTTAATAAAAACGTGTGCACATTTTATCCTTGTACAACAGGAATTTTTTTTACCTTTTTGTAAAACAAAAACTTTACCAAAATATATTTAAGATAAAAAATGCTGGGCCAGGCGTGGTGGCTCACGTCTGTAATCCTAGCAATTTGGGAGGCTGAGGTGGGCGGATCACCTGAAGTCAGGAGTTTGAAACCAGCCTGATGAACATGGTGAAACCCCATCTCTACTAAAGATACAAAAAAATTAGCTGTGCATGGTGGTGGGTGCCTGTAATCAGTCCCAGCTACTTGGGAGGCTGAGGCAGGAGAATCACTTGAACCCGGGAGGCGGAGGTGGCAGTGAGCAGAGATCAGACCACTGCACTCCAGCCTGGGCAACAGGGCGAGACTCCATCTCAAAAATAAAAATAAAAACAAATTAATAATAATAATACAAACTGCAGGCCTCTTGGATTCTAAAATGGGAGTCATGTATCTCTTTCTTGAGTTGGCTACAGCAGGTTCCATGAGTTCCCAGTGTGGTCGAAATCATAAATATTCTGTCTCTTTCATTTCCCTTTTTCACATCCCCAAACCCACATGTTGGTTCACCTGGGAAGCTATTTTCTTGGGGAGGAAAGTGAGATTTTGAGGAAAGTAGCACAGTGGGTGTCATATGCAGGGGAGAGTCACTTTCAAGTCCTGTGGTTGCAGGTGACAGCCTGGTGCTCATAGGAATCTGCTCAGAAAATCTCTATCTTGTTTCTGTTCCTTCCTCAACACAATGGCCATGGTTACCGGTGGAGACAAAATACGTCCAGAGTGGACTGGAGTCCAAGAAAAGATGTATCTGGCATCGCCTTTCCTAGAAAGTCACTGGGACAGAAGTTCAGAAATGAATGAGCTTTTGAAAACAAGAATGGGCCAGGCGTGGTGGCTCATGCCTGTAATCCCAGCACTTCAGGAGGCTGAGGTGGGCAGATCACCTAAGGTTAGGAGTTCGAGACCAGCCTGGCCAACATGGGGAAACTCTGTCTCTACTAAAACTAAAAAAATTGGTTGGGCTTGGTGGTGGGTGCCTGTAATCCCAGCTAATTGGGAGGCTGAGGCAGGAGAATTGCTTGAACCCAGGAGGTGGAGGCTTCAGTGAGTCGAGATTGCACCACTGCATACCAGCCTGGGCGACAGAGCAAGACTGTCTCAAAAAACACACACACACACACACACACACACACACGGCATTCTGCCTTTCATAAATGGGAGAATAACATCCCAGATTTATTTAGAGTTTAATAAAGGTGTTCATCTTCAGAGCAGCTGAGCAAACTCAACCTTGAACTTCCACTCTCCATGAGTTCCCTGACCACCCTGTCCCTTAGAATAGAAGACTCCTTTAATTCTGGTCTTCAAATTGGGGCCTGATTCCACTGGTTTTGGAGATGTCTGTAATCCCAAAAAAGCAAAAAAAAAATCAGCACTGTGGACAAGAGCAAGGGATGCGGTCTGTTCTCTTCCCACTTCAGGTGGGCCTCTTAACCTTCACGTGTTTCCTTCCACAATGACCACCCAAGAGCTACCAACGACCCCAGCACTGCTGGAAAAATAAAGCCTTCTCTTTTCATCTCTGCTTTTTCCCTACCCCTTCTGGAAGCAACCTCTTCTGTAAAGGTTTCATGTGCAGGATACACTGAGAAACTCAGCTCAGGACTTGGAGAGATTGTGACTCCTCTAGGACCCTCTTACTCAGCAGATGGGAAGTGCATTCATGAGAGTGAAGGGCTGCGGAACCCACATGCTGCTCGGGACATGACAGGAGGAACATGTAAGGCTCTGGTTCCCTCACCTCCATCTCCTTTTCTAAAAGGTAAACCTCCAACATTGTTAATCTTCCTTCACTCATCTGTGACCCCCAAGTGAGGTAAGGCATGGGGTGAGAGTGAGAATAACTGTCTCTTTTACCCTCTCTGGGCTGGGACTGCCCTGTGTCTAACCCTCTCTTCTACTCCTTCCTTCCCAGCCCAGCCCAGGGCTCTCCTGCATGCTGAGGGTCTAGAATTTCCATGCGCATGGGTCATGGAGCTCCTATCCTGAGAACACAAACACTGAGGTCATGGGGGTGTGCAACAGGAGGAAGAGTGTATTGGAGGAAGAGTTTTCATGCTGCTAACAGACATACCTGAGACTGGGTAATTGATAAAGGAAAGAGGTTTAATGGACTGCCCATTTCATATGGCTGGGGAGCACTCACAATCATGGCGGAAGCCAAGGAGGAGCAAAGTCACACTGTACATGGTGGCAGGCAAGAGAGCGTGTGCAGGGGAACTCCTGAGACTTATTCTCTATCACAACAGCACAGGAAAAAACCTGATTTCAATCATACATAGGCTTGAGGAGAGGGTGTCTGATTTACATAGGGCCAAAGATTGGAATTATTCAGGTAACAGATAATTCAGCTATGGTTTTGTTGAACCATAAAGAAGCAGAGAATCAGGAGAGGATGAGACTCAGCAGCAGGTGAACATGAAACAGCCAGAGTGTGACATTTACATATCATGTGAAGAAACTGGCCACCCCACCCTAATCTATTATGCAAATGGGTTTTCTACCTGGCTGGCACCATGCAGTGTGCTCCCTACTACACACACAGTTGGCAAGGAAAGGAAAGATAGAGCCACCATGTTGGAGGTGCCTAGCCCCAGGTAGCCTTTTCCTATTGGTGCAGCTGCTGGCATTCACCTGGGCAACCTTGCAGCTTGCTTATGTCTGCAGCTTGATTTTATAGGCTGCTCTTTTTAGAAAAAAAAAAAAAAAATCCAAAAAATGATCCCAGTGTTTGGGAAGCTGAGGCGGGTGGATCACTTGAGGTCAGGAGTTCCAGACCAGCCTGGTCAACATGGCGAAACCCCATCTCCACTAAAAATAAGAAAAATTAGCCGGTATGGTGGCACACGCCGTAATTCCATCTACTTGGGATGCTGAGGCAGGAGAACTGCTGAGCCCGGGAGGCAGCGGTTGCAGTGAGCCAAGACTGGGTCACTGCACTCCAGCCTGGGCAACAGAATGGGACCCTATCTCAAAAAAAAAAAAATTCTCAGTTTGTATAACCTTATGAGCCAATTCATTATAAAACTGTGTGTGTGCATTTGTGCGTGTGTATGTGTATTCTATAAGCTCTCAAGTTCTTTTTTTCTGGAGGATCTAGAGGAATACAAGTGGAAAAGACATTTTCCCTGGACTTGTGGAGCTCAGACTAATAAAGACAAACATTGCAATTATTCAGGTAACAGATAATTCAGCTATGGTTTTGTTGAACCATAGAGAAGCAGAGAATCAGGAGAGGATGAGACTCAGCAGCAGGTGAACATGAAACAACCAGAGTCATCACAGTAGGGTGACCTTCTGGAGAACGGGAGTCCAAGTCCTGAATATTTGGAGCTACTAGAAAGGCAAGGGTGGGAGCCCTCGACCAGGAAGTGTGAGCTGTTCTCAGAGCTGACAGTAATCCAGAGAATGCAGGGAGCTGGTCACTCGGGCTCTTGTGTAGCTTGCAAGTATACTTGGATTTCATCTTGAAGGCAGTGGGTAAATTTTAAGCAAATGAACATGTGAGCAGATTTTTGTTTTAAGAAAACCAATGACCAGGTGTGGTGGCTCGCACCTGTAATCCCAGCAATTTGGGAGGTTGAGACAGGCAGATCACCTGAGGTCAGGAGTTCAAGACCAGTGCGGCCAACATGGTGAAACCTCATCTTTACTAAAAATACAAAAATAAGCCGGATGTGGTGGTGGGTACCTGTAATCCCAGCTACTTGGGAGGCTGAGATAGGAGAATTGCTTGAACCAGGTAGAGGTTGCAGCGAGCTGAGATTGCACCACTGCACTCCAGCCTGGGCAACAAGAGCAAAACTCCTTATCAATTAAAGAAAGAAAACTACCACTGTATAGGCATGGATGGTAGAAGGGCTGCGCTGATAATCAGCAGTGATACAACTCCAGCATTCAGCTGACCTCGGTAATGTGCCAATCAATACTCTAAGCGGTTATGTGGATTTCTCCTGGAATTCCTTCTTAAACCCTAAGTCATGAATGCAGCAAGGATGAGACAGCAAGACTTCCTTTTCTTTACCATAGTTAGGAGTTTGGAAAGGCATTTCCTAGGTTTAAATTTTCTCAGGGAGCTGACTGTGAGAAGGCAGACATATGTTACTATCTTAAGTGTCTTTCTGAGGCGTGGTGGGGAAGGGGTAAGTGGTTTCCTGTAATGAATTTGCTCTGTAGGGAGGAGCCATGTTTTCTGGCGCTGGAGATGTTAGCTTAGTCCTGGTCATCAACATCATGAACATCAGGCAGATATACTTGTGTCTTATTTGGAGGAAGATTCAGACCCGGGGGAGGATTTTGACCAAGGAAGAGTCAGCCACAGATAAGGTCGGGGGCTGTGAGAATACAAGATCAGCATGGAGTGAGGTCTTGGAGTAGGGACCAGGAGGAGGCTGATGTGATGGTACAGACAGGCTGTCTTCAGTCTCCAGTGAGCTTGCGCTGTGGGATGGACCAGCGGATGTGGGCGAGGAGGGCTGAAGGGTACAACTGCTTGGATGTGTTCACTGTATGTGAAGCAAAAGCGAGTAACTAGGGTCTGTTTCATTCTCTGCCTCAGTTCACTGGAGCAGCCCATGGTGCTATCACAGGAGGAATGACCCTGGTCAGGAACCAGGCTAGGGAGGTATTTATAAGGCTGTCAACGGACTGCAGAGGAAGTGCTACCTCCCTCCTGGGCCTGCTGTCTGGTTTCGCTTCTCCAAAGCACTTCTTCCCTCTGAAATTTCTTATTTCTTTATTATTATTATACTTTAAGTTCTGGGGTACATGTGCAGAACGTGCAGGTTTGTTACACAGTTATACACATGCCATGGTGGTTTGCTGCATCCATCCCCCCTCCCCATGATCTGCATTAGTGTTTCTCCTAATGCTATCCCTCCCTAGTCCCCAGCCCCCTGACAGGCTGTGGTGTGTGATGTTCCCCTCTGTGTGTGCATGTGTTCTCATTGTTAATGCCTACTTAGGAGTGAGAACATGTGGTGTTTTTCTGTTCTTGTGTTAGTTTGCTGAGAATGATAGTTTCCAGCTTCATCCATGGCCCTACAAAGGATATGAACTCCTCCTTTTTGTGGCTGCATAGTATTCCATGGTGTGTGTTACATATTCTTTATCCAGTCAATCACTGATGGGCATTTGGGTTGGTTCCAAGTCTTTGCTCTTGTGAACAGTGCCGCAATAAACATATGTGTGCATGGAGACATGGAACGCTTTTAATCTGGTGTATTTCCTTGACTAGATTAAGACATGTGATGTAAGAACCCTTATGGTAGGAGTGGCTCACAGGAAATTCCCAAATCTGCACTCCTCACTGTGCTCTACTTTGAGTGGAATGGCAGAGACCCACAAAGGCTTCCAAAATGCAGGAATGCTAGTGCTTGGCCCTAAATTCCATATTCATAAATGACAGTGGACATTTCATCACTGGGCCAGTGCCTGAGCACTGTGGAACTTGGGGCATTTCCAACCTGAAGGTCCCGCCTCACGTAAACACTCCCTAAGACCACAGTGCAACTTCTTCTGAAATAAGAAAGTTCTAGGAAGGGCCAGGTGTGGTAGCTCACCCCTGTAATGCCAGCACTTTGGAGGCCAAGGCAGGTGGATCACCTGAAGACAGGAGTTAGAGACCACCCTGGGGAACATAGTGAATCCCCCTCTCTACTAAAAATACAAAAATTAGCCTGGCATGGTTGTGTGCACCTGTAGTCCCAGTTACTTGGGAGGCTGTGGCAGGAGAATCACTTGAACCTAGGAGAGGGAGGTTGCAGTGAGCTGAGATTGTGCCATTGCACTCCAGCCTCAACGACACAGAGAGATTCCATCTCAAAAAAATTTTTTTAAATAGGCTGGGCATGGTGGCTCATGCCTGTAATCCCCACACTTAGGGAGGCCCAGACTGGTGGATGACCTGAGGTCAGGAGATCTAAACCATCCTGGCCAACATGGTGAAATCCCATCTTTACTAAAAATACAAAAATTAGCCGGGAGTGGTGAAATCCCATCTTTACTAAAAATACAAAAATTAGCCGGGAGTGGTGGCAGGTGCCTGTAGTCCCAGCTACTCCGGAGGCTGAGGCAGGAGAATCGCTTGAACCCAGGAGGCGGAGCTTGCAGTGAGCTGAGATCGTGTCACTGCACTCCAGCCTGGGTGACAGAGCAAGACTCCATCTCAAAATAAACTAGTAAGTTAATTAATTAGACAAAAGGAAGTTCATAAGGGAGAATTGGCTCATGCAATTCCAAGGTGAAGTCCCAGGATATACTGTGTACAAGCTAGAAAAAATAAAGAAGCAGATAGTGTGGCTCAGAGTCCAGATGCCACCAAACAAGGGAAGCCCCAGATACCACCCTTAGTCTAAGGCCAAAGACCCAAAAGCCCCTCGGAGGTCGTTGGTGCGAGTCCTGGAGTCCACAGGCCAAAGAACCTGGAGCCAGGGACGGGGGGGAGGAAGCAAGTGCAGGGCGAGGGTTCAGCAAGCTGCTCATCCCCTCCTCCCACCTGCTTTGTCAGAGCTGCGTTGGCAGCGATTTCATGGTGCCGCCCACACTGAGGGTGGGCCTTCTCTCCCAGGCCACTGACCCAAATGTCAGTCACCAGAAACCATGCTTCACCAGCTTCTAGGCTTCCTTCAATCCAATCAAGAAGTTTACACCTAATATGAATATGAACGGTCACATGCCTCAAGGTCCACTTAGTCCCAGGGATTCAGGGGCGTCTGTGAGAGTATCTGCTGCTGCCCCACCTGGTCAAGGTGGTGTCTCTCCTCCCCTCCACACTGGACCCCACTGCAGACCCCTGGCATGCACCCCTCCCCCCCCCAGGACTCATCTCAGGGGAATCGGGGCGAGGTCATGAAGGATTTAAACTTGCTTGATGTTGAATGGTGAGTACAGCTGAGCCCTGATTGGTTGGTTCAGGTGAGCTCTGGAAGCCCCGAAGTTGCTAAGAGGCGTGGGTTTTCAGGGAGCTCACAGCACGAGTGTGACTTCCAGCCCAAAAGTAGCTGCTTGGCTCTAACATAAATATTAGAATTTATTAAAGGCTGGGCGCGGTGGCTCCCTCCTGTAATCCCAGCACTTTGGGAGGCCGAGGCGGGTGGATCACGAGGTCAACAGATCGAGACCATCCTGGTCAACATGGTGAAACCCCGTCTCTACTAAAAATACAGAAAATTAGCTGGGCATGGTGGCGCGTGCCTGTAATCCCAGCTACTCGGGAGGCTGAGGCAGGAGAATTGCCTGAACCCAGGAGGCGGAGGCTGCAGTGAGCCGAGATCGCGCCATTGCACTCCAGCCTGGGTAACAAGAGCCAAACTCCGCGTCAAAAAAAAAAAAGTATTAAAATATCTATAAATAAATATTAGACTTTATAGTAGAGCCAAGCAATTTATATCGGTGGCCAGTCAACCACTTAGGATTCATCCTGCAGGACGGGTCTTTGAGGTTCCAGTTTTTCACAGAGATAAAGAATAGAGGCTTAGGAAGATCTGCGGATGAAATGTGACCTGACTGGCATGGGAAACTGAGGCTCGGCTTCGGGGACCGTGGGTGGGGATGGCCACGCCCTCACCTCAGCCGGAAATGTGACCTGACTGGCATGGGAAACTGAGGCTCGGCTTCGGGGACCGTGGGTGGGGATGGCCACGCCCTCACCTCAGCCGGAAATGTGACCTGACTGGCATGGGAAACTGAGGCTCGGCTTCGGGGACCGTGGGTGGGGATGGCCACGCCCTCACCTCAGCCGGAAATGTGACCTGACTGGCATGGGAAACTGAGGCTCGGCTTCGGGGACCGTGGGTGGGGATGGCCACGCGCTCACCTCAGCCGGAAATGTGACCTGACTGGCATGGGAAACTGAGGCTCGGCTTCGGGGACCGTGGGTGGGGATGGCCACGCGCTCACCTCAGCCGAGGACCCCCAGGAGAGCGCTGGCTCGGCCCGGGGTTTAGAGCACAGAGCCGGGGCCCGGGGGGTCTGAAGACCCGCTCCCTGGAACCTGGCCGGCCTCGGGCACGTGACTTCACCTATCAGACCGGACTTTCTTCAAGGAAACGGGCGGGTGCCCCGTGGAAGGAACCGCGGGGCTGCGTGGGCCGCGTTCACGAACCTTCCCACGCCGTTCAGAGCACAGGGCAGACTCACCGGACAGCGGCCGGGGCTTCGTTTCCGCCGAGAAGCGCGTTTGCTGCCGCAGCTGACTTCCTTCCACACCTGAGACCGGACTCCGAGAGGAGCGGCGCGTGCGGAGGGCGTGTCCGAGGAGGGAGCGGCGCGTGCGGAGGGCGTGTCCGAGAGGAGCGGCGCGTGCGGAGGGTGTGTCCGAGGAGGGAGCGGCGCGTGCGGAGGGCGTGTCCGAGAGGAGCGGCGCGTGCGGAGGGCGTGTCCGAGAGGAGCGGCGCGTGCGGAGGGCGTGTCCGAGAGGAGCGGCGCGTGCGGAGGGCGTGTCCGAGGTGGGAGCGGCGCGTGCGGAGGGCGTGTCCGAGGAGGGAGCGGCGCGTGCGGAGGGCGTGTCCGAGGCGGGAGCGGCGCGTGCGGAGGGCGTGTCCGAGGAGGGAGCGGCGCGTGCGGAGGGCGTGTCCGAGAGGAGCGGCGCGTGCGGAGGGCGTGTCCGAGGAGGGAGCGGCGCGTGCGGAGGGCGTGTCAGAGGAGGGAGCGGCGCGTGCGGAGGGCGTGTCCGAGGAGGGAGCGGCGCGTGCGGAGGGCGTGTCCGAGGAGGGAGCGGCGCGTGCGGCGGGCGTGTCCGAGAGGAGCGGCGCGTGCGGAGGGCGTGTCCGAGGAGGGAGCGGCGCGTGCGGAGGGCGTGTCCGAGAGGAGCGGCGCGTGCGGAGGGCGTGTCCGAGGAGGGAGCGGCGCGTGCGGAGGGCGTGTCCGAGAGGAGCGGCGCGTGCGGAGGGCGTGTCCGAGAGGAGCGGCGCGTGCGGAGGGCGTGTCCGAGGAGGGAGCGGCGCGTGCGGAGAGCGTGTCCGAGGAGGGAGCGGCGCGTGCGGAGGGCGTGTCCGAGGAGGGAGCGGCGCGTGCGGAGGGCGTGTCCGAGGCGGGAGCGGCGCGTGCGGAGGGCGTGTCCGAGAGGAGCGGCGCGTGCGGCGGGCGTGTCCGAGGCGGGAGCGGCGCGTGCGGAGGGCGTGTCCGAGGAGGGAGCGGCGCGTGCGGAGGGCGTGTCCGAGGCGGGAGCGGCGCGTGCGGAGGGCGTGTCCGAGGAGGGAGCGGCGCGTGGGGCCGGTGTGTCCGAGGCGGGAGCGGCGCGTGCGGAGGGCGTGTCCGAGGCGGGAGCGGCGCGTGGGGCGGGCGTGTCCGAGGCGGGAGCGGCGCGTGTGGAGGGCGTGGCGCGTGCGGAGGGCGTGTCTGAGGAGGGAGCGGCGCGTGTGGAGGGCGTGGAGCGTACGGAGGGCGTGTCTGAGGAGGGAGCGGCGCGTGGGGCGGGCGTCTCTGAGGCTGGAGCGGCGCGTGCGGAGGGCGTGTCTGAGGAGGGAGGGGCGCGTGCGGAGGGCGTGTCAGGGAGCGGCGCGTGCGGAGGGCGTGTCTGAGGCTGGAGCGGCGGGTGCGGAGGGCGTGTCTGAGGCGGGAGCGGCGCGTGGGGCCGGCGTCTCTGAGGCTGGAGCGGCGCGTGCGGAGGGCGTGTCTGAGGCGGGAGCGGCGCGTGGGGCGGGCGCGTCTGAGGCGGGAGCGGCGCGTGGGGCGGGCGCGTCTGAGGCGGGAGCGGCGCGTGCGGAGGGCGTGTCCGAGGCGGGAGCGGCGCGTGCGGAGGGCGTGTCCGAGGAGGGAGCGGCGCGTGGGGCCGGCGTGTCTGAGGAGGGACCGGCGCGTGGGGCGGGCGTGTCTGAGGCGGGAGCGGCCCGTGGGGCGGGCGCGTCTGAGGCGGGAGCGGCGCGTGGGGCGGGCGTGTCTGAGGCGGGACTGTCTGCACCCGCTCACCCAAGATGGGTGGCGGAGGAGATGCTCGTGCTGCTCCCTCTGGGTTCTGCAGAGCTTGGCCTTGGACTGAACTGGGGAGAGAAAGAACCACTGATGATTCTAAAATTTTGGGAGTGGGAGGAGCGAAGGAGGAGGAATTGGAAAGTAATAAACGATAAAAACGAAGACGATGAGTCAGTTTTCCAGATGGCACATTTCAAATCGGGGCGGGGCGGGTTTCCCCCCAGGCGTGGAAAGCGGGCACCTGGGCTGGCCGGTGTGAGGGCCGTGCCCGGCGGGACAGAGGGCGGCGGCTCAATGCCGGGGACCTGCACAGCGCGAGGTTTCCTTCCCTTCACGGTTTTCAACGGCGACAGCGGCCCCCGCGCCCCGGGAGCTCCCCTGCGGCGTCGCCAGTGAAGGAGGGTTTGGGAGCTGCGTGACCGTCATTAAAGCCGCATTTCAGTCACGACACGTCACAAACGCAGTACCGCGAAGACAAGCGACGAAACGTCGCCGCAGCCTCCACCTCCCGCCTGGGCCTCCCAGCTAGCCGGGGTGACAGTGGCCAGGCTGCTCTCAGAGTCTGCCCGCCCCGGCCTCCCAGTGCTGGGATGACAGGCTTGAGCCGCCGCGCCCGGTCCGATCCCCTTAATTGACGAGTAGTCATTGTATATGTTCGTGTCCAGAAGTGTTTCCATGTGCGTTTGTCTTTCAGTCCTGCCTCCTGTTGTCCATTTTAATATATTCTTTAAAAGACACGCGCATACGGTCAAATGACGGCCGGGCGCGGTGGCTCACGCCTGTCACCCCAGCACTTGGGAAGCCGCGGTGGGATCACCAGGTCAAAAGATGGAGACATCCTGGCTAACTCGGTGAAACCCCGTCTCTACTGAAAACACAATTAGCCGGGTGTGGTGGTGCCTGTAGTCCCAGCTACTCTGGAGGCTGAGGCAGGAGAACCCCTTGAACCTGGGAGGCGGAGGTCGCGGTGAGCAGAGATCGTGTCACTGCACTCCAGCCTGGGCGACAGACAGAGCCAGACTCCATCTCAAAGACTAAGTAAATAAAGTCACATGAGATACTCCTGCCCCCTAGTGGGTCTCAGGGTACTTATCTTTACTCCCAGTGGGGACAGCGCTACCGCGTGTAAAAGGGTGGTGGATGGCTGACCTGGGGCGGGGCGGGGCGGGGAGAGGAGGGGAGAGGAAGGAGGGGAGAGGGGCACCAATATTCCGTTTTCCACCTGGATGACTTTGACGCTTACAGTCCTTCGTGTAAGTAGAGTAATTCAGTACGTGCCCTTTCATGACATCCACCCCCCTTTTTTTCCCTTCAGACAGTCTCACTCTGTTACCCAGGCTGGAGGGCAGTGGCATAATCTCGGCTCACTGCAACCTCCGCCTCCTGGGTTCAAGCGATTCTCCGGCCTCAGCCTCCCGAGTAGCTGGGACTATAGGCACGCGCCACCGTGCCCAGCTGATTTTTGTATTTTTAGTAGAGACGGGGTTTCACCATGTTGGCCAGGATGGTCTCGATCTCTTGACCTCGTGATCCACCCGCCTCGGCCTCCCAAAGTGCTGGGATTACAGGCTTGAGCCACCGCACCCGGCCAAAAAAAAAAAAATTTTTTTAAGGAAGATAAGAGTAGTTCTAATATGTTTTTATTACCCGACTTTTAAGGTGGTACAACTTAGAGCCAAGAGGGCCCCAAATGCCTGCAATTTCCCCTGAGAGGAAAGTAAGAGCAGAGTGAGCACACAGCTTCCCCAGCCTCAGGGGAAATTGCCCAAGAGGACCCCTTCAGCCTTGCCCCACTTGGATCTCTGCATGGATTGGCATGGCTGCATAGTTGGCAGGGGGAGCCAGGAGCAAGGAAAGATTAAAAATCTCACAGCAGCCAGGCGCAGTGGCTCACGCCTATAATCCCAACACTTTGGGAGGCTGAGACGGGCGGATCACAAGGTTAGGAGTTTGAGACCAGCCTGACCAATATGATGAAACCCCGTTTCTGTTAAAAATACAAAACTTAGCTGGGTGTGGTGGCGGGCACCTATAATCCCAACTACTCAGGAGACTGAGGCAGGAGAATTGCTTGAACCCGAAAGATGGAGGTTGCAGTGAGCCAAGATTGTGCCATTGCACTTCAGCCTGGGCAATAAGAGTGAAACTTTATCTCAAAAAAAAAAAAAGGGAGGGGGGTTCAACACAACCTCCGCCTCCTGGGTTCAGGCAATTCTCCTGCCTCAGCCTCCTGAGTAGCTGGGATTACAGGCATGCGCCACCGTGCCCAGCTAATTTTTTTTATTTTGAGTAGAGACGGGGTTTCACCATGTTGACCAGGATGGTCTCGATCTGTTGACCTCGTGATCCACCCGCCTCGTCCTCCCAAAGTGCTGGGATTACAGGCTTGAGCCACCGCACCCGGCCCAGGTGTTTCTCTTTTGGAGCCAGTCAGTAAAGACTGAAAGAGGGGACTGCTTTCTCAAATGCAAAGATAGCAACACAGAAGCTTAAGGAACATGGGGGGAAGAAAGCAAAAATATCGCCATGAAAAAGAAAACAAAGCTCCAATGACCAACCTCAAAGAAATGGGGATCTATAAATTGAATGATGAAGATTTCAGAATAATCATTGTTAAGGAGCTCAGTGAGCTTAAGAGAAAATAGCTGGACGACTCATCAAATAAGGCTGACATTTTATGCGTAGAATGAAAAATTAGATAAAAAGTTACATCCATGTAACAAAAAACACTTGTACCCCAAAAGTTATTAAAATTAACTTTTTAGAGATGGCCTCTCACTCTGTCACCCAGGTTGAAGTGCAGAGGCACAATCTTGGCTCAGTGCAGCCTCCGCCTCCCAGGCATGGGCCACCACACCTAATTTTTTTTTCCTGTATTTTTGGTAGAGATGAGGTTTCTCCATGTTGCCAGGCTAGTCTGTAACTCCTGAGCTCAAGTGATCTTTCTGCCTCAGACTCCCAAAATGATGGTGTTACAGGCACAAGCCACCATGCCCAGCTGAAATTTAAAAATGTTTTAAAAAAGAAATCACTAACAGAACCAAATAGAAATTCTGGAACTGAAGAATACAGTTACTGAAATAAAATATTCTATGGAGAGCTTCAACTGCAGACTTGATTAAGCAGAAGAAAGAATCAGCAAACTTGAAAAATATTTAAAATTACCCAATCAGAAAAGCAAAAAACAAAGTGAAACTGAATAAATGAAGCCTGCAGAGTAAAAACGCACAATGAAAGAGTCTCTTCAACAAATTACATTGCACAAATTGGGTATCTTCATCAAAAGAATGAAGCTGGGGCTGGGCGCCGTGGCTCACGCCTGTAATCCCAGCACTTTGGGAGGCCGAGGCAGGCAGATCACCTGAGGTCAGGAGTTCGAGATCAGCCTGACCAACATGGTGAAACCCCATCTCTACTAAAAATACAAAAGTTAGCCAGGCGTGGTGGCAAGTGCCTGTAATCCCAGCTACACCGGAGGCTGAGGCAGGAGGATTGCTTGAACCCGGTAGGCGGAGGCTGCAGTAATTGTGCCGCTTCACTCCAGCCTGGGTCACAGAGCAAGACTCCATTAAAAAAAAAAAAAAGGAAAGAGAGAGAGACAGAGGAAGGAAGGGAAGGGGAGGGGAGGGGAGGGGAGGAAGGGGGGAAGGGAAGGAAGGAAGGAAAAGAAAAAAGAAAGAGAAAAGGAAAGAAAGAGAAAGAAAGAAATAGTCCCTGCATCTGATTTTCTGTCTTCTCTCTTGGCTCTTCCTCTTTCCACTATTAACAGTTCGGTGTTTTTGCTTCAATTCCCCTAAACTATATCTGTCCTGCTTTCCACTGTTACCTCACTGCCTGAACTTCCTGGACTTCCTTACACTGGAGCAGACGCTGGGACCTGCTCAGCCCTCCTGTGCTCTGCAAGGGGTAAAAGAATGCCCAAATCCTCTGCTACGTCCAGACTGTTCACCTTTTGCTAAAGAGTTCATTTACCCACCTGTCACCCTCAGAGTCAGAGTCAAAGAAGATGTTATAGGAGAAAACACTCCGCTGATGGTTGAAAAACAACCAGAGAAGAAAGACAGAGATGCCAAAAAAAGAGACGAGACACCCAGAAAGAGAAAGACAGAAAGAGAGAAAGGGACAGAGATGCACAGAGCAGGGAAATGTGTCCCATGTGAAGAAGAGGAAAAATCAGTCAGGATGTTCACACAAGAAAGCAAAGATACAGAGTCCAGCATTGGGAGTAGATCCCAGGAGGAAATGAGACCTGAGTGCAAATAGAAAATTAAATCTCAGTGCCAATTAAAATTGGGAAGGCCAGCCAGGCACCCACCTTCTTTGAACCGGGACAGAAACCTTCCAGCACGGTGAGCTGCAGCCTGTCCAGGGGTTCATAACGTGGAGTCGGGAGCCTCATGAGGATCTGAAGCCCCCGCCTCTGAGACATGGCTGATCTTGAACAAGTTACTTCATGTCTTGGTCCATAGTTTTTTTTTTTTTTTTCTCTTTTTTTTTAATGAGGAAAATAATATAGGGCACGCTGTGGAGTGTTTGTAGGAGAATTTAATATGTCAATGTTTGCCTAGAACTAAATTAGCAACTGCCCCATAGAAAGAGCTGGCTGAATTTTTGCTGAATTAAAAATCTTTCTATAAAAAATATTTTTAAGTCCTCTCTTTGTAATGGGCATGCAGGCTTCTTGTCCGGGTCCCTTCACTTGTTTGTTTGGTCTGGTTTTCTGGGATTGTTTAGTATTCCTATTTTCATTGACAGTTAATAATGGCGAATATTTATGGAGTACAGTGTTGTATTACTCTGTTTTCACACTGCTATAAAGAACTACCCGAGACTGGGTAATTTATAAGGGAAAGAAGTGTAATTGCCTCACAATTTCAGCATGGCTGGGAGGCCTCAGGAAACTTAGAACCACGCCAGAAGGCAAAGGGGAAGCAGGCATCTTCTTCTCAAGCAAGCAGGAAGGAGCATGAACACAGGAGGAATTACCAAACACTTATAAAACCTCAGATCTCATGAGAACTCACTCACTATCAAGAGAACAGCAGGGGGAAAACTGCCCCAGTGATTCAATTACCTCCACCTGGTCTCTCCCTTGACATGTGGGAATTATGGGGATTACAATTCAAGATGAGATTTGGATGGGGACATGGAGCCAAATCATATCAAATGTTTTGATATTTGTTTACACGTGCAGTTCTCCTCAGGTGGGGTCTCACCAGAAGCTATGCCTGTTGGAATCTCTACTTCAGTCTTGTTACTGTTTGGGGTTTTGTTTTTGTTTTTCAAAGACAGGCCCGGCACTGTGGCTCACACCTGTAATCCCAGCACTTTGGGAGGCCAAAGTGGGTGGATCACGAGGTCAGGAGTTCGAGACCAGCCTGGCCAAAATGGTGAAACCCTGTCTCTACTAAAAATACAAAAATTAGCCGGGCATGGTGGCAGGCACCTGTAATCTCACCTACTCAGGAGGCTGAGGCAGAAGAATCGCTTGAACCCAGGAGGCAGAAGTTGCAGTGAGCCGAGACTGCACCATTGCACTCCAGCCTGGATGACAGAGCAAGACTCCATCTCCAAAAAAACAAAACAAAACAAAACAACAACAACAACAACAAAAAACAGACCCTACAGGTAGGGTGGATACTCGGATATGCCTCAACCAAAGCAGGCTCAATGATTTCTTGGTTTCCTGGGCATGGGAGTGTGTGCACATCTCTCCGCGTGTGTATGCATGTGTGTGAGAGCATGCATTCCTGTGCATGTATGTGCAGGTGTGAACTGGCAGGGTCAGCTCTCTGCCTTCACCCAGCTGAACCTCCTTCATTCATTCCTGATACACGTGCTTTGTCAGAAAACACTGACAACATGAAGTCCTTTTTTTTTTTTTTTGCATTTTCACTGAAGCATTTATTACACACGATAGGAAGGCTTTAGCATGCCAGTATAAATTAAAACAGTAGAAAAAAGGCAGAGCAAAGAGCGTTTTTCATCCATGGCCTGTGACCTATAATGACACAGCAGTGTCCCAGTACTTTGGGGTTTTTCCCATCCTGCCACTGTCTGAGGAGCAAGTTCGGGATATCTAATATCTAGTATTCGTGGTGATGGGTGCGCTGGTGAATTTGATTGTGGTTATCAGCCAGGCACGGTGGCTCACGCCTGTAATCCCAGCACTTTGGGAAGCCGAGGCGGGTGAATCACCTGAGGTTGGGGGTTTGAGACCAGCTTGGCCAACATAGTGAAACCCCGTCTCTACTAAAAATACAAAAATTTGCCAGGCATGGTGGCGCACACCTGTAATCCCAGCTACACAGGAGGCTGAGGCAGGAGAATCACTTGAACCTGGGAGGCGGAGGTTGCGGTGAGCCAAGAGTGTGCCACTGCACTCCAGCCTGGGCAACAAGAGTCAAACTCCATCTAAAAAAATAAATAAATAAAAAGAGATTGTGGTTATCATTGCACAATGTATGCGTATAACAAATTATCACATTTTACGCCTTGAATATGTACCATCTTGATCAATTAAATTTAAAAAAGAAAATGCTTTTTTTCTGACACCTCCTTTGTAGGTTCTGTTTCCTTTACTCAGCTCTGAACAACTGTGAAGGCAGAGGCTGGGTCCAGGAGACCTGTGCACCCAGGACCAGGAACGGGGCTGCCAGATGTGAGGTCTTCAAAATAATTTATTGATGCCAGAGGAGAGCGTGATGCAGAGAATCGGGCATAGCTGCCAGCTGTGTGTGTATAGCGCAGTCTCAAGGTTATCACTTGACTTCTGGGAAGGTTTTTGGGGTCAGCAGGGAAGATAATTAAGCAAAGTCTCCGGGGTCACTGGAGGTTCACCGGAGACACCTGGGACCAGTTTGGGGTCTGCATCACTACTCAGGAAATCAGCTGACTGGAGGTAGCTGGGTCTCTGGAAATAGCCTGATGGCTGTAGCTGGGCCTCTAGAAAAGGCAGGTGACTTTAGCTGGGTCTCTAGAAACAGCCAGGTAACTGTAGCTGGGTCTCTGGAAACAGTCAGGTGAGTAAAGCTGGGTCTCTAGAAACAGCCAGGTAACTGTACCTGGGTCTCTGGAATCAGCTGAGAGACAGTCTGTCCAAGGAGCTGCTCAATTGCAGAAGGGACCAGCTGGCTAATGAGCCTTCCGCATGCCGGTTAGAAACCTCCAGGCTCCAGCTCTTGTCTCCAGATCTGCCTGGGAGCCTTTCCAGACGAGGATGAGTCCAAGCCGAAGCCTTCCAAAGGGCTGCTTCAGGCTTTTCCTAGAGTCTCCAGGTGTAGAGGCCAGGTGGCCCTGGGGTCAGCGTTTGACAATGGCTGCGTACATGCTGGCCTCGGCCAAGGGCTCTGTGGACACAGCCTGGGCTGTCCTGCGTGTGAGGGCCCCGTGGTCCAGCTGAGCATATGTCACCTCCTGGGGGCCCTCTGCAGTCGGGGCCTGGGAGAGAGAGAGCCAGGGTGACGGAGAGGCTGGTGGAGGGTGAGGATGTGGGGCTGTGGGGATGGAGGGCTGTGGGGATGGAGGGCTGTGGTTGCCATCTCCATGGGCCCCGAGGACCCACTCCTGAAAATGCATCCGTGTGAAGAGCCCACCCACAGGGAATGAGGGTTGCTCTATGTGACAGTGAACAAGGCAGAAGTGAAGACTCCTAACTTCCAAGCTGAGGCAAAAGACATTGTGCTTCTGCCCTCCCCACACCTTTGGGTCCCTCCCTCTGGGGGAAGCTGGCAGTGTGGAGAGGCCCCTGTGAGAGGAACAGAGGCCTCTGCTGCAGCTGTGGGAGTGAGCGTCTCGGTTGTGGAGCCTCCAGCCCACAGGACCCTTCAGATGCACACAGCCCTGGGCGACCTCTCGACAGCAACCTCAGCACAGACTGTGAGCTGGAACTGCCCAGCTGAGCCACTCCTGAATTCCTGACCCAAGGAACTGAGACTTTTTTTAAGCTGCTAAATTTGGGTTACTTTCATAACTAGCGGGAAGGCTCACCGAGGTGTTGGTCTCTCTGTCCTTCTCAGGAAGTGCATCAACTGTGGCCATGTCTGGGGGACAAGACACAGGTCATTTTCCTGGGGAGGATGTCACAGGGCAAATCTGCCTGAGACCCCCAGCTTCAGATGTCATCCTGCACCCAATCTATAATACGGCCTTCTAGAATGTTCCTGAAGATTCTTCCCCCCTCCCCCCGCATTGCATCTGGATTGGCACCAAGTTCCCACTTCCCTGTCCCAGGCCTGTCCCTCCTCCTCCCTCTTTACCTGCTTTTCTCTCTAGAACATCAACAGCCATGTTGGGCCTGAAAGGAAAAATAAAAATGAACATTAGGGGCAGCCTGGCGGCAGAGGACTGGATGGATGTCCAGGACTCATTCCCGGGGGCCTCACCTCTGCTGTGGCTTCTCCTCCTCATCCTTGCTTCTGGGGGGCCCTGAGGACAGTCGGGGTCTGAATTAAGGAGACCTTCTTCCTAGCATCTCCTGACAGCTTCCCCAAGCCTCTCCACCCTGCCTCTGACACCTACCCTGCTTTATCTGATTCTGGCGATGGAGGAAGAAGAGGGCCAGGAGGAAGAGACAAAGGAGGAAGACCACTGAGACCACGATGAGAATATAGAGATGCTCAGCTTTCAGGCCTTGGGGAGCAGGGGCATCTAAGAAAGACAGAAACAGGTTTTCAGCAGTGTGCACTTACTGAGCACCTACTGCATACCACACACATATCATGTGTGTGTCACAGACGTACTAATATATCAGATCTCTCAGATAAATAATCGTCCCACAGCACAGGGATTAAAATCTCTCAGGGGGAAACAGTCCTGCAGCACAGGGATCATTATCCGCTTCTTCCACCACTGGGGTCCTGAGTGCTGGGGTCCTCTGCACAGGGACACAGCCAGCCACTGGCAGAACGGGAATCTGACCAACCCCAAAGCCTGACCTCTTTCTCCTTGCACAAGAGGGACACACCAGGCTCATGCCGCACAGTCCCCATCACTCACGCTCATTGTTACAGTTGTCTGAGGGCCTCGGCGTGGGTCCTGGGAGGGAGAAATCAGAAAGAGGTGGAGGCAGAGCCCTGAGCTGGACAGAAAAGGTTCTGAGTCCTCCCACGACCCCTGCAGGAATCTCCCTTCATTCCCCAGGACCCTGACCGCTCCTTCTAGACGAGCACCCCGCCCAGCAGAGTCTTCTGTGATGATGGAAACTTTCTACATCTACTGTCCAGAATGAAAGCCACACGTTGCTGTTGATATTTAAATGGCCTGAGAAGCTAGCTGCACTGTCTGCATCTCTAGGGCTTAGTGACCACATGTGCCTAATGCCATCCCTACTGGACAGTGCAGATACAGCGTGTTTCCTTGGCGTGAAGCTGTGTTAGACATCGCTGCTCTCTGCCCTCTGCAGATCTAGGCAGAGACCAGCCACCCATAAGAAAAGGAAAGCAGCCCTTCCCTCCCTGACCTCCTTCTGGGTTCCCACCAGAATGCAAGAATCCCCAGGTCTGACCCGCCCTCCCGTGGGAAGAATCCAAGGCCCACTGTGCTGCTGTTTCCTGAAGGCCTGCAGCTAGCGGGCGAGTGTGTGCGGCACTGGCTGGGCTCCCTGCTCAGGGCTTCTCCGTCATCTCGATCATCCACCCTCCTCTGCACAGTGCACACCATACCCACTTCACGGGCGACGAAATGGGGTCCTGCAGGGCTCTCCCAAACCCAGGGTCCCTCTTCCAGGAACAGCGGCCCCTCCCCTCCCCTGTCTTGGAGTGTCCTTCCCTCACGCCTCCTCCAGGGTCCAAGATCCAGCACACGACGCTTTATTCTACGCCATGACTGCCTGGGCTTGGTCTTTATAACATTTGCCACCATTTAAAAAAATGACATATGTACTATGTACGTGCAATATTACACTTTTATAATATTTAAGGTTATATGTATCATGTATTATGCAAATGTATAATATATAACAAATATATTTATAATTATGTAATCTTGACACGCACATACAATGTAATGTATATAATGTTAAATGTATATGATTTATACTTATATGTTACATATATTCACTATAATATATAATGTGTAATTTATATTGCTGATAAACCTATAATTAACTATAAAATGTTTTTCTATTATAATTATACATAATAGATAATATATATTTACCTGAATATATATGATTTATTCATTAATTATAACACTTGAAATTTATTACACTATATATTGTAAATATATATTTCATATAATATATAATATAATCATATATAGTGATACACTAACATTTTTATTATATAATTATGTTTCTTATATATGTAATATATGATGTAAACATATTTAATATAATTTAAATTATAGATCTGAAATTTTACATTGCAAATCATATGTTTTTATTTGTGTAGGCATATAAAGGCATATGTGCCTTTCTATTACTCATTCTAACTATTTATCATTATTGAGGTTCACAAGGCGGGATGCCATTTCTTCTCATTCATGGTGCATCAAACCCGGAGGCTTCCGTGCCTGGCACAGTCCCTGTGAGTACAAAATACTTCACCCTCCTTGGGAGTTTTCTAATCAGCACTGATGGAAGCACTGTGTGTACCTGAACTCAAGTGTCCCCTAAACAATTCTTTTTTTCTTTTGTTTTGAGACGCTCTGTCACTCAAGCTGGAGTGCAGTGGCATGATTTTGGCCTCCTGGGTTCAAGCAATTCTCTGTCTCAGCCTCCCCAGTAGCTGGGATTACAGGTGCCCACCACCACGCCTGGCTAATTTTTTAAAAAATACTTTTGGTACAGACGGGGTTTCACCATATTGGCCAGGCTGGTCTTGACCTCCTGACCTCGTGATACACCCGCCTCAGCCTCCCAGAGTGCTGGGATTACAGGTGTGAACCACCACACCTGGCCTCCCCTAAATGATTCTGCAAGGACAGCTTTTTCACTGCTTATTTTTCACATGAGGAATTTGGGACACAGGTTTGTGTGAGTCACCATCAGGCACAGAGCTGGGGGGTGGCAGAAGCACCAGGACTTGAACCATGAACCCAGCAATCTGGCTGCAAGGAGGGTCCGTCATCGTAACCTTTATATGTCACTGCATGAAAGATGAGAGACGAGAGAGGGAAGGAGAGGTAGACAAGGAGAGGGAAGACATTCCTGCAGACAGAGGGCTAATTAAAACCAGACACTGGACTTGAACCAGGTCTGCTGGGCTCAGGAGCATGTCCCACTGCACCCTGGCAGCCCAGGAGCCTCTGAGGGGGTCTGGATGGAGCACAGCATCACTCCTCCCACCTCCCACATGGTCCCACCTGCCTGAGCTCAGAGCCCGAGCCTCACAGACTGTCACTGGTCTAGGTCAGGGACGACCACTCTAGCGAGGGAAACACAGGTAGGGAAGGGTCTGTGGATGGCTTCTGACCCCGTGTCCTCGCCTGGAAGGCTCTGATCACAGACCTCAGCGGGAGATAGGCAACTTGACACCCAGGGACCTGGGGCAGCTTACTCCCATCACAGAGTCCAGGGGCAGAGCCAGATGGAAGGGAAGCCTCATGACTTCATCCTGGTCACCGTGCACAGGCCATGTCCCCTCCCTCTGGCATTGTCCTCCTCTTAAGGGACCCTACTCCACTGTTCAGGCCTCCCCCGGAAATCACATAGCCAACAGGAGCCTCCTGGTCACTCTCTGGGTGTCCCAGGTTGGAAGGTGAGTTCTCAGTCACTCACAGGTGCAGAGCGGGGTGAATGATGAGGACATGCCCACAAGGGGGCAGCATGGAGCTCAGGCAAGCCCAGAAGTCTAGGGTGTGGCTGCCCGGGTGGGCGGCCCCTGCCCCGGCCCCTGCCCCTTCCCCTGCCCCTTCCCCTTCATAGCCTCCTGCCTTTGAGCAAGAAACTTGAATTTCTGCGTTGCATATTAGAGAGGAGGAGGAGTTAGAGAATCAGCCTAGTACCTCCCCCATAGAGTGGGGTTTGTGTTCAGCGCTTTCCGGGGTGCCTGGCGTGGAGTGAGGTTGCAGTCGTGGTACCGTGGCTGCTCTGGTCTCTATGAGCATCAGCGACCTCCCAGAGCTGGGCAGTGTCAGTCCCTTCCCACAGTCTCCCTAGTCCTTGACTCCAAACCCAGGGCCCAGGGCTGGACCCGGAGCTGCATCCCCAGCACCCCCTCCTGCTGAGGAGCTAAGCTTGGTGCAGGGGGGAGGGAGACGGGGGAGGGGGAGTCACTGTGGGGGTAGGGGAGAGGGTACGGGAGGGCGGGGGAAGTTGGCACCCCCAGGGGTTCCTGTAAACAAGGGCAGGAGAAATATTTGGAACCATCCCATCCAACCTGCCCTCCTCCCCCCGAGCCGCCTCCAAAAGCCCCATGTTCATTACACAATCCCAGACAATGTCCCAAGACTCCAGAGAAAATGGGGCAGGGGACAGGAGGCTGGGAGAGCCCCGCTGCTTGGCCCATTCTGCCAGGGGCTGGTCACTCCCTCTGCTCCCCACTCCCCACCAGCTCTGCTTGACCTCAGGGGACTCCTTTGAGGCCCTGGGGGTACATGAAAGTGGATTGGACTTGGACTCCAGGATGTCTCTGCGGCTGAGCACACACAGGGGTCCGTGTGGTCACACACCAGAGGATGTCCCACAGTACTGCCCAGCCCTGGTCAGGAGCCACCCTGGACCCTGTGTTCTGCCCAATGGGAGATGAGCCACAGCAGGAGGAGCACATTCCCTGGGGCAGGTTCTGGCTCAGGGGAGAGGAATAACAAGTGGACCATCCATCCTGTGTGAAAAGACGCTCAGCCCCTTGTAGGGGGGTTGCCCCCTGATCTCTGGGAACCCACTCCCCACCCAGCCAAGCAGAGGCATCTCTGAGCCCACCCGCTGCTGGGGCTGAGTGTCCAGGTCATCTGTGGTGTCCAGAGGGGACCAGGGCTCCAGGGACCTAAGCAAGTGTGACGGCAGGGTGGAGGGGTGCGCAGAGGGAGAGGGGGAGGGCAGGGCTTGGGGGTCAGGAGGAGGGCAAGGGTGGCCACAGAGAGAGGACAGCAGCTGGGACAGGGTCCAGGGACCTGGGGACAAGCTCGAGGGCAGAGCTGAGACTAGGGCAGGGCCCAGGTGGCGTCCTCACCTTTCACCACCAGCTCCAGCTGCTCACTGTGCTGAGACCATCTGGAGGCCTTATGATAGATGCAGCGATAATGCCCGGCGCTGTCCTCACTCACTGAGTCAATGCGGAATGTGGCCTCTGACAAAAATGGACTAACTAGAGACACATCATAATTATCTTTGTACTGGGCTCTATTCTCCCTCTCCAGGCGGAATTCGTGAACCCCAACTGGGCCCCGGCACACGAAAGTCACAGGGCTCCCCAGGGGGATCACGGTGCCTGGCTCAGCCGAGATGGAGGGTCTGGGCAGGGCCCCTAGGAGGGAAGCAGAGAAGGACTCAGTGTCCACTGTAGGAAGTCACCATGTCACATGTCATTCGCATCACAATTCAGGGTTTTTAGCAAATTTATACAGTTATGCAGCCGCAACCACAGCCCAACTTTAGATCATTTCCCGTCTCCTGCACCTTCCACCTGCGTGTCAATTCTCATCGCTGCGGAGTTATTTTCCCAGTGGACACTAAGGACCCTGAGACTTGCTCACAGCTTGAGCCTCGCTCAGGGTCACGTGGGAAGAGTCAGAGCGGCCTGGGGCCCTTCGTGTCTGCTGCAGAGCCCAGGGCCACTTTCCAGAGGGACAGAGGGTGGGAGGGAGGCACAGCATGGGGATGACACCGTCACTTGTGAAGGACAGGGGACAGGGAAGTGAGAGTTCTGGAGATGACAGGTGCTGGGGCCCGAAGGGCACTGGCCAGTCCCGGGTGGGACTGAGTGTGGGATGGGGGTTGCCAGGCTCCTGTGAGGGTCTGGTGGGGGGGAGGGGGAAGCCCCCAGCCCTGATCTGCTCGAAGCAGCCCAGCCCGTGACAGGTCCCCGCTGCTAATGCAAGTCTCTGTGGAGCCACCACCTCTGGGTTTTCCTGTAAAGTTTCTGCTGTCTTCTCAGCCTAATTTGCATTTCTTTGTTATTAAGGCTCTTGGAAAACCTCATTTGTCTCTGGGCTTGGGGTGGAGGAGGAAGGGTGGGTGTGAAACCCTAAAACAGGAAAAGTTGTTTGAAAATCAGCAAAATCCCTGACCAGGACAGAGAGCTGGCAAGCCTTCAATTCGCTCCTCCGTGCTTTCTCATTCTTTATGATCGACAAATCAAAACTGCATCTATGTCAGGTCCGCAACATGACGTTTTGATACAGGTATACATTGTGGAGTGGCTGAATCAGGCTAATTAGTATAACCTTAGTTTGCATAGCTTTTTCGCGGTGAGAACATTTCAAATCTGCCCTCTTAGCGGAGCATGCAACACATTGTGATTGATCCAGTCACCACGTGGCACCATCCTCAACTTACTCCCCCTATCTAGCTGAAATTTTGTATCCTTCTGCCATCTCCCCAAACCCACCCATTTGTCCATTTCTCGTTCTTTTAACCATATCTCAGTTGCTTGTCAATCTGTTTAAAGACATTTTTCATGGGCTGCTGTTTCCACAAACGTGAGAGACACACACAGGATGCCCGCCCTTGGGCGGTGGACGTCTAGAAGGGAGGACAGAGACTGATGGAAGAATTGTGCAAAGCTGCAGCTGTGAACTGCGATCAGCTTCCTGTGGGTAAGTGTGGGCATCTAGGGGCTGGTGGGCGGTGGAGCTGACCTCCTTGGCAAAGTCAGGGGAAGCGCCATTGAGCTGAGAGCTGAGGGAGGCGTAGAAGCTACCTGAGCTGAGCAGACAGGACACCAGGGCACTCAAAGTGGGGAAAGCAGTCAGGGCATGTCGCTAGAAAGGTTACAAAGTTTTAGTTAGAGAGGAGAAAGCAACTCAAGAGACTAATGTACCACACAGTGACTGCAGTTAACAGCGATGTCACATTACTGGACACTGCTAATAGAGGTGCTCTAAGCGTCTCACCACAAAACATGATTAGCACGGGAGGAATGCGTGACCTAGCTCGGTGCAGCCGTTCCACACTGTGCGCAGCCCACAGAGCCATATGGACATGAGAAGTACATGCAGTTTTCATTGTTTCGGTTTGCCTTTTCTTGTGTGTGTGTTTGTTTTTGTTTTTTTGAGACAGAGTCTCGCTCTGTTGTCCAAGCTGGAGTGCAGTGGCGCGATCTCAGCTCACTGCAACTTCCACCTCCCAGGTTCAAGCAATTCTCCTGCCTCGGCCTCCCGAGTAGCTGGATTACAGGCACGTGCCACCACACCCAGCTAATTTTTCTATTTATTTTTTATTTTTATTTTTTGAGACGGAGTTTCGCTCTTGTTACCCAGGCTGGAGTGCAATGGCGCGATCTCGGCTCACCGCAACCTCCGCCTCCTGGGTTCAGGCAATTCTCCTGTCTCAGCCTCCTGAGTAGCTGGGATTACAGGCACGCACCACCGTGCCCAGCTAATTTTTGTATTTTTAGTAGAGACGGGGTTTCACCATGTTGACCAGGATGGTCTTGATCTGTTGACCTCGTGATCCACCCACCTCGGCCTCCCAAAGTGCTGGGATTACAGGCGTGAGCCACCGCGCCCGGCCTAATTTTTGTATTTTTAATAGAGACAGGATTTCCCCATGTTGGCCAGGCTGGTCTCAAACTCCTCACCTCAGGTGATCCACCCGCCTCAGCCTCCCAAAGTGCTGGGATTACAGTCATGACCCACTGCACCCAGCCTCATCGGTCATTTTTAAAATGAATTTTTTTTTTTTTTTGAGACAGAGTTTCACTTTTGTTACCCAGGCTGGAGTGCGATGGCGCCATCTCGGCTCACCACAACCTCCGCCTCCTGGGTTCGGGCAATTCTCCTGCCTCAGCCTCCTGAGTAGCTGGGATTACAGGCACGCATCACCATGCCCAGCTAATTTTTGTATTTTTAGTAGAGACAGGGTTTCACCATGTTGACCAGGATGGTCTCGATCTCTTGACCTGGTGATCCACCCGCCTCAGCCTCCCAAAGTGCTGGGATTATAGGCGTGAGCCACCACGCCGGGCCCAAAATGGATTTTTTTTTAAATCGGCATGTGAGACAGCCCAATATTGAACAGAATATGGAGTGTTTGAGAAAGTGAAAGCAGCTGGAAGATGTAGAGATGAGTGAGCCCGAAGTCACAGGGACAGAATGTGGCTGGAAAAACCAGCATGTCCAGACCAGAGAGACGGGCGTGGGTCTGATTCTACCTGAAGATAAACAGAGGAAGGGCTCTGAGGAAAAAAGGATGTTTAACCTTACAATGAGATATTAAAAGAAAAATTTTGAACACAATTTAAAAATTGTGGACGGTACAATGGTCATGTTTGTGCTTTCGCAAATCACAGCGTCCCTAGTGTCAGGAAGGGAGCGGGCAGCCGGGGCATGGACAGGCTGAGGCTGGCCTCGGGGAGCCGAGGAGGGGAGAGGTGCGGTCACTTGGGGCGGATGCAGGAAAAGTACATGAAGAGAGAGGGAAAGATGAGAAAAATCTGGAGTGAAATCACCAGGACTGGGTGACAGGATGCATCTAGGAGGATGGAGAAGAGGATGAGTCTTCAGAGTCTGCCCTTGGTGACTGTTGTATTCCCCGCCAAAGGGCTGCTGAGGGAAGTGTGGGCTCATCTGGGGAAAGCTCCCGGGCTCAGCCTTGGTCATGTTGGATTTGAATCACCATTGTGGAAATTGGTGTGTGGAAGTGACGCCTGCACTCCTGTGATGACTGCAGCATGACCCACAGCAGCCAAGACGTGGAAATAACCTGAGCGTCCACCCGCAAAGGAATGGATAAGGAAAATGTGGTGTGCATATGCAATGGAATATTATTCAGCCCAGAAAAAGAAGGACGTTCTGTCATTCCAACAACATGGATGAACTGGAGGATATTACCCTAAGTGAAATAAGCCGGGCACAGAAAGCCAAACGCCGCATGTGGAATCTAAAATAAAGTTCGTCTCGGCTGGGCGTGGTGGCTCACAAATGTACTCCCAGCACTTTGGGAGGCCAAGGCAGGTAGATCACCTGAGGTCAGGAGTTCAAGACCAGCCTGGCCAACATGATGAAATCCCATCTCTACCAAAAATACAAGAATTAGCCAGGCGTGTTGGCGCATGCCTGCAATCCCAGCTACTTGTGAGGCTGAGGCAGGAGAATCCCTTGAATCCAGGCAACAGAGGTTTCAGTGAGCCAAGATTGCGCCACGGCACTCCAGCCTGGGTGACGAGAGTGAAACTCTGCCTCAAAAAAAAAAAAGTCATCTCACAGAGGTAGAGAGTAGAGTAATGGTATTAGAGGCTGGAGGTGGAGGCCTTGGGAGAGACGCTGATGAGGAGGAGTTTCGATGAGACAGGAGGAGGAAGTTTTGCGGTCTATTGCACAGCGGGCTGACGAGAGTTAAGAATCACTTATTATATACTTCAAAATTGCTAAAAGTAGGTTTTGAATGTTCTCATCACAATAAGTATGTGATGTGATTGGTATGTTAGCTATCCTTATTTAATCTGTCCACAATGTTTACATCCGCTGTAACATCACATTGTACCCCACAAACATACATAATTGTCAATTAAAAATAAGATTTGTCAGTTAAAAATAAGAAAAGCAAAATATGACAGGCGGAGAATAAAGGAGAGAAAGGGGTGAGGGCAGCGCATTTCCCATGTGGAATCGTTTGCAATCTAGGGCACATTTCAGGGATCCCTCCGGGCCCTCTGAGAATCAACTTCACTCCCACCCAGAACTGCCCTTGGGGTACAGAGGGGACTGGGGAGACGGGATGAAGACGGGACTCACCCTCCTGTGTGCGGATCATCTGGGCCAGGCAGAGCACTGGAAGAGAAGCCGCAGTGAGAGAAATGCCCACCGCCCAGTCCTCACACGGGGCTGCTATCAAAAGGAGGCTCCATGCAGCTGGGCACATTCAGCATTTCATAATGACCAAACCGCCCCTCCTCCACATCACTGTCTGAGTATAATCCTTCTTGCTGCAAACTGGTTTCAAAATAAATCCCAAAGTCTCCTCTTCCAAAAAGGCTCCTGCTCCCCAAGCCCTTTTTTATTTTTTGCAGATAGAGTTATGCTCTGGTTTCCCAGGCTGGAGTGCAGTGGCACAATCTCGGCTCACTGTAACCTCTGCCTCCTGGGTACAAGAGATTCTCCTGCTTCAGCCTCCCAACTAACTGGGATGACAGGCGTGAGCCACCACGCCCAGCTAATTTTTGTATTTGTAGAGGTGGGGTTTTACCACATTGGCCAGGCTGGTCTCAAACTCCTGACCTCAGGTGATCCACCCCCCTTGGCTCCCAAAGTGCTGGGATAACAGGCGTGAGCCACTGCACCCCTTAAAGCTGACCTTATCCCCACACCCAGGTCCCTGTTTTTAGGACAAGGTCTTCTCTGGTCCGACTTAGGCCCCAGGGAGAGCAGGGCAGTCTTGGGGGAGGAGGACACTTCCCCCCTAGAATCCTCAGGACTGGAGTCAGGCTTGAGCAGGGAACTTTTCAGACCTCCCAACCCCCTTTCCAGTCCTCCCTGCTGCCTCCAGGACTCACCTAGGCCCAGGAGGGCGGTGGGGTGGGGAGACATGACCCCAGTCCCAGAACTCTGCAGCACATGCAAGCGGGCAGGTTGTGCCAGCCACCTCCTGCCTATGGGGTTCCCACAGCAACTGCCTCACGCAAGAGGAAGAGCTTTCTGCCCTGCTCTTTTCACACTTCTCACTGAGACCAGAGGGAGGGCCTTGGTTTCTGAAAAACGTCGCTTACCCGCATGATCAGATGACGCTAAACTAGTTACTCCATGTGTCACCTCTTTGTGAATCTATGGGAGCAGAGAACTTTCCAGACCTCCCGACCCCCTTTCCAGTCCTCCCCACTCCCTCCAGGACTCACCTAGGCCCAGGAGGGCAGTGGGGCGGGGGTACATGGCAGAATAAAGGTCCTTGTCCTATGGGGTGGTGCAACATGCCTTGGACACCTTCCCAGCTCCACAGGTCAACAGCCGCAGCTCTTGGGCAAGACGTTACAAACTCAGAAGCTGACATTTCCTCGTATTTGAAATGGGAGCCACAGGAACCCTTCTCCAAGTTTTTAATATTGTGATCTTTGCTAAAATCGCGCAACAAGGTATTTAACATGTTGAAAACACCCTGCAATGGATGGTATTTGTTTAAGGAGACGGCATTGGTGAGGATGTGGAGAAACTGGCTCCCTTGCATACTTCGGTGGGAATGAAAAGCTGTGCAATCACTGTAGAGAACAGTGTGGAGGTTCCTTAAAAAGTTAGAAATAGAACTACCAGCTGGGCGCGGTGGCTCACAATTGTAATCCCAGAACTTTAGGAGGCCGAGGCGGGTGGACCATGAGGTCAAGAGATTCAGATCATCCTGGCCAAGGCGGTGAAACCGTCTCTACTAAAAATACAAAAATCAGCTGGGCATGGTAGCATGCACCTGTAGTCCTAGCTGCTGAGGAGGCTGGGGCAGGCAGAGAACCGCAACTAGAGCAGGGTGGAGGGGAAATGTGTGGTTGTAGCCCCCACACAGCATTCCCACCAGGGCCCTGTGTGCAAAGGGAGGCACCAACCCGCAGACCCAGAATGGTAGAGCCACCGGCAACTTGCAACCTCTGTGTGGAAAAGCCAGGGGCGGAGCTGCCTGCAGCCTTGTGAGCCAATCCCTCATATCAGTGTACCCCGGATGTGGGACATGGAGTCAATGACTGTTTTAGAGCGTTAAGAGTTCGTGGCTGCCCTGCTGGATTTCAGACTCGTGTGGGGCTGTTAGCCCCTTTCTTTTGGTTGATGCCTCCCTTTGGGAACAGGGGTGCTCCCAGTGCTATGCCCCCATTGTCTCTTGGGGATAAATGACTTGTTTTGATTCTACAGGATCATAGGTGGAAGGAACTCCTTTCCAGATGAGACTTTGGACTTGGACTTGGGACTTGGGACTTTTTGTTGTTGATGTTGTTGAGACAGAGTCTTACTCTGTCACCAGGTTGCAATGCAGGGTGCAATGTCGGCTCACTGCAACCTCCACCTCCCGGGTTCAAGCGATTCTCCTGCCTCAGCCTCCTGAGTGGCTGGGACTACAGGTGCATGCCACCGTGCCCAGCTAAGTTTTGTATTTTTAGTAGAGATGGGGTTTCACCATGTTGCCCAGAATGGTCTCAATCTCCTGAACTTGTGGTCCGAAGAAAGAGGAGAAACAGAAAATATTTGTGCACTTGCAAAATGTACTTAGACATATCATTTCCGTCCAGATCTTCGGCTAAAAATAGTCATTATCATTACAATCAGCCACACATGGATGCAAAGGAGACTAGAAAAAATGTCCCTTGGTGTGGGGTAGCCACCTCCCAGAGATTCGAGTGCAGTGTAAGGGGAAATACAGAATGCTTTTTTTTCTGGTGAGCAGCCACACATCTGCCTTGTGTGAAAAATAATCCCAAGAAGAAATGTACCTGAGAACGTCTAGCCAAGGAGCACGATGTTGTAACACCCTGACTGATGAACCATCTGGTGCGACTGACAGACCATCTGGAGTGATTGACAGAACATCTGGGGTGGTTGACAGAACATCTGGGGTGGTTGACAGAACATCTAGGGTGATTGATTCCTCTGTACTTAGAGGGACACCAAAACCAACATTTCAAGTATTATTAACAGAAAAATTGTCGTCTTCCCTCTGGAGCTCATGCAAGTCTTAGTTAACCTGAAGCGAGCTGTAGAAGCCACTAGAACCGACGGAGGCCGCTGTGTGCACACTGGTGGCCTTCTCCCCTCCCAGCTCTACTTCTAGAGTTCAGTGAAGGAAGGGGTCTACATGGCCCACTAAGTTTCCTCTTTCTCTAAACTGGGGGTGCAGGATCTGAACCTGGGCAACTCACCAAGTCCCCTTTCCCCACGAGGTCATAGGATATTGGTTCTTTTCCTTTTTTTTTTTTTTTTTTTTGAGACAGAGTTTCGCTCTTGTTACCCAGACTGGATTGCAATGGCGCGATCTCGGCTCACCACAACCTCCACCTCCTGGGTTCAAGCAATTCTCTTGCCTCAGCCTCCCGAGTAGCTGGGACTACAGGCACGCACCACCATGCCCAGCTAATTTTTGTATTTTTTAGTAGAGACGGGGTTTCACCATGTTGACCAGGATTGTCTCGATGTCTTGACCTCGTGATCCACCTGCCTCGGCCTCCCAAAGTGCTGGGATTACAGGCTTGAGCCACCGCGCCTGGCCAGAATATTGTTTCTTTAGTGCACTTACCACATGAGCAGATATGGCTCTCAGTGCAACAAAACTCACGGCTCCCTTATGGGGTGTTGAGTTGTCCCTGGCTGCCGCTGTCCCCTGAGGGACTCTATCCCCGTCCTTCTTGCCCCCAGCTGTGGACTCGTGACTCTTTCCCACACTTGGAATGTGAGCAGCAGTGATGAGTGACATTCAGATTTTTTTTTTAAAAGGCACGGTCCAGACTGGGCTACAGAGTGAGACCCCATCTCTAAATAAATAAATAAATAGATAGATAAATAAATGGGCATTGACCCTGAGAGCCGGCCCAGGAAGCCACTGAGCACTGCCAGGTGTAGTCAGGGGCTGGGGGCTGAGGGCTGAGGAGCCGGCGACAGGAAATGCAGCATGGGGGGCTGCGGGAGACGTGGACGGAAGAGAAAGTCTCTGTGAAACCCCAGTCAGGAGGTAATTTGCCTGTTGTAAGTTGAGTGGACTCCAGTGGGAAAATAATGTGGAACAGTATGTGCATTGATTGAGTAGGAGTGTCCAAAAGGCCAAATAAAGTTTTGGTGTTTTACCCTCGTGGGACGGGTTCTGAACGCAAGTGTGGCGTCATCATATTTTTGTCTAAAATGTATTTCTAAGACCGCTTCCTGAAGTCAGACTTGCATGAAGCTGTAAATGTCTTCTGAGCCCTCGCTCTATGCCAGACCCTGCTCTGAATCCCCTGTATGGATAGTTTAATTTTCACAGCTTTGGAAAGGAGTTTTCATCACTAGACCCATTTTACAGATGAGAACACTGAACTCAGAGGTCGGTTCATTTGATTGGTGTCACGCATCAACATGCATGGATTTCATGGATGGAACTGGGTTTCCACCCAGGAAGGAAGGATGTCCTTACCTTCCTTCCTTAATAATAAAATTATTATTATTATAATTATTGAGACGGAGTCTCACTCTGTCACTCAGGCTGGAGTACAGTGGTGCGATCTCAGCTTGCTGCAACCTCCGCCTCCCGGATTCAAGAAATTCTCCTTGTTTCAGCCTCCCAAGTAGCTGGGATTACAGGTGCGTGCCACGATGCCTGGCTAATTTTTGTATTTTTAGTGGAGATGGGGTTTCACTATGTTGGCCAGACTGGTCTCTAACTCCTGACCTCAGGTGATCCATCTGCCTCGACCTCCCACAGTGTTGGGATTACAGGTGTGAGCCACGGTGCCTGGATGTCCTTACCTATTATTGATATGTCATTATATTTCTTTCTTTTTTTTTTTTGAGACGGAGTTTTGCTCTTGTTACCCAGGCTGGAGTGCAATGGCGTGATCTCAGGTCACCGCAACCTCCGCCTCCTTGATTCAGGCAATTCTCCTGCCTCAGCCTCCTGAGTAGCTGGGATTACAGGCACGTGCCACCATGCCCAGCTAATTTTTTTGTATTTTTAGTAGAGACGGGTTTTCACCATGTTGACCAGGATGGTCTTGATCTCTTGACCTCATGATTCACCTGCCTCGGCCTCCCAAAGTGCTGGGATTACAGGCGTGAGCCACCACGCCCTGCCGATATGTCGTTATATTTCTTAAAGAAAACAAGGAAAATCCAGTGTGGATAGACCAGTTATAAAGTCCTTGCCTTCCGGGACAGTGAGGAATGTTTGGATGGGAAGGATCACAGCAGGAATTTCAGTGAGTATGTGGATTTATGACTGGGAGGTAGGCTCAAAAGAAAGGCTGATGGAAGTTTGCCTTCCAGAAGTATCTGACTAGGTTGTGTTAGACTAAACTTGTCACTATTAAAAAAAAAAAAATTTTTTTTTAAGATGAACAAAACCAGGGAACATCTGTCTGTAGAAAGTGGCACGATTCCAAGCCAGAGAGAAGTTTGGATTCCAAGACATGAAGGAGGAAGGAAGGCAAGTAAGGAGATGGTATCATTTAGGGTTAGTTTTATATTAACGGTTTGCTGATTCTGAAACTAAAAGATGAGAGTCCAAAAAGCTCAGTGGGAGCAGGATGAAGGATTTCAACAGAAAACTGGTAAATACAGGCTGGGCACAGTGGCTCATGCCTGTAATTCCAGCGCTTTGGGAGTCCAAGGTGGGCGGATTGCCTGAGGTCAGGAGTTCAAGACCAGCCGGGCCAACCTGGCAAAACCCCATCTCTACTAAAAATACAAAAATTTGCCAGGTGTGGTGGTGCGCACCTATAATCCAAGCTACTTGGGAGGCTGAGACAGGAGAATCGCTTGAACCCAGAATGGGGAAGTGGCAGTGAGCCAGGATTGCACCATTGCATTCCAGCCTGGGCGACAAGAGCAAAAACTCAGAGAGGGGAGGGGAGGGGAGGGGAGGGGGAAGAGAAGAACAATTGTCCCCAGGGTCAGAGCCAATCAAACACAGCAGTGGCTGATCCAAGCCACAGGGATGCCTGCCCACGCATGGTGCCAGCCAAGTGCTTCTCTGG